CCCCCTCCCTAACATGCGGGTTATTAATTAACAATCGCTCAACATTAAGTCGCGATTACACCGAGTCGTCCTGACACAGCATCGATCCTCCCCGAAATTGATCGATCGCTCCGGCCGCCCCGCGCGCTTCCCGACGCGTAATGTCGCGCAGCGCCCGTTTCCACGGACAAAAGCCGTAAAACGTTAAATGGAGAATTTTGCTTCGCGCAAATCAAATGTGTAGTATAGTTGAAGTATGAGGAAAAAATGAACTTCCTGAACGAACATGTGTTATGTTCCACGTGAGCGGACGAAATATATATTAAGTGAAATATAAATAATAAATATTAATGTGTGATACGTATCAATATTTATTATTTATATTTCACCCAATGAATTTACTTATTTATTATTTATTATTACATATTATAAATATATACTGATAAATAATAAATAAATATATTATATATTGTTAATATTAATAATGTCAATATTAATATTAATAACAAAAGTAAATAGAGAGAATAATTAATAATAAATAAATGCATGATTATTTCCGCAATTAATGTACCCCCTTTTCCACCTTTGCCATCGCTTCAAATTCGATCAGTGACTGTCAAATAAACAAAAGAAAAACATTATTTTCCGCATATAATATATGAACGTAAGACTTTTTAGATCGACATCTCGAGTAGATCTCGAACGTCGAATTTTGTCCATGAAAACGGGCGACACACGATTTCTTCCATCCGGACGCTGTTTTCCCGTTGGGACACTCCGTCGCTCGTCGATTGGTTCCAGCTTGCGCCGTGAAAAAAACACAAAAAATACCCACGAACGCTGCACGCAAACGTTAGTTAATATTTGCCCGCTGAAACGCGCGATTACACGCTAAATATACACACGCGCGAGCGTTTCGAAGGGGCGACAAACAAGCGAAAGGAGAGGAGAAAGGAGGGCGACGCGTGATCTTAGCGACGATTACTTCGAGGCAAATGCAAATACACCGGCGCATTAATTAATCCGGATCGCTGAGATTGCACTGAGCGGGCGGGCGCCGAAGGTACGAGATAAACGTCTCTCGAAGCCCCCCTTCCCCCGAAAATCTTGATTAATAACGGATGGGGACGAGATATATAATACCGCCGCGCAGGCCGGTTAATATCACATCGGAAGAACACATGTTGAATAAACCGGAAGGCGCGCGCGGAAGAGGACGGGGAGCCTCGGCGGTGCATCATTTAGAGCCGCGCCGCGAACTTCCCGATGATTAAACAGCGCGAGATTGAAGTATACGCCGCATTCTTCACGAATACGTGAGTATTCGAAATCTCGCGGCGCGAGATACTTGTTACAGACGTAACACACGTACTTCGTACGAAGGAGAAGAAGGAAAGGGAAGCCGCCGCCGAGCGAGTTAACAAATTGCTGGCTCGTCCCATAAACCGACGTCGCCGTATCAAAAGTTTTCCGCGTCGCCTGTTAACGCCGCCGCCGTCCGGGATCCTTTAAAATACGTCTTAAGAATATTACGTTTCCCCGCGCCTCCTCGTCTACGCTGATGCATCTTTCCGGGACGTGAGCGAAATACGCGGCGACGCCGGTGACGGTGGTGGTTCGTCGTCGTGTCGCAAGTTAAATCCTTATATGATTCCGAGTAAACTTGCGGCTTACTACCGCCGGCTGGCGGCTGGTAAATTATTACCTCGCGGCATCCGCGAAAATCTGACGCGAGAAACCGAAACACCTCGCTCGCTCCTGTTTGTCATTCCGATTTTAATCCCGCGCTTTTCCGCCGGATTTGAATGCCGCGGCATCTCTTTCTTTTTGTCGTTTCCTCTCTCTCTCTCTCTCTTTCTTGCGCCGTTTAAAAATGGAAAGACATACTCGGACGGAGGGGTGGGAGTTCAAAGATACGGAATCGAGGCGATGAGGCTGCGGGAGGAAGAAATCCCTTTTTTTGCCTGGCGTTTTACACTCGCGTCTCCACGCATCACACACATATATATAAATGTGTCGAGTCTCCCGGAGTAACTTCTCTTAAACGATTCGACGCGGCCCGCGCGATGTATACGCGAGCGTGAGGTCGTTTCGTTTAAACGAGTGGCACTTGAGGATTGCATTTGGCGCTCCCCCCGCCGCGGTGTCTTGTAAGAGTGCAGCTCTCATTTGTGTCTAAAAGTAAGTTGACGAAACTAATTTAGCGCACGAGCGTATAACCCGAGCCTTCATCACCGGCACTTGAGCCAACGAGTTTTCTCTGAAAACGTCAGCCTGATTTTGCGGACAGTCCGCGCGCGCGCGCAACTTGAATCGTTACCTCCTCTTCCCTTCTTTTTTTCTTTTCTCCACCCCCCTCCCCCGTCCTGCATAACCGGTGAGAGACTTGGCGTGTGAATGAACTTTTCCGCAGGAAAGAACGTACAATAGGACGGGAGGGAGGGAATATCGCGTTCTCCTCGCGTCGAAATCGTATTTCTTTGTAGCGAAAGGCGAAAACATCAGCTCCTCTCCCCGTCGTCGCGCATTCTCCCGTCGTGGTCAAATAAAAATATACATTTCCAGATGAATAAAATATAATATACGAGAAAAGATATACGGGGGGGGAAGAGCACTGTAACTGAGATAGGTGTGGTGAAACGACATATATACATACTGGGGGAGAAATACTTGATATTTGCAGCTGTGATCATCACAGTGGAAGGATTGTGGTCGGGAAAACCAGTTTTCTAGCAAGTGTTACTTATAGTGTTAATGATGACCTTACGTGCATATTGTTACTACTATTTTTACTATGGTTAAAACTACGAAAAAATTATAGTTGACATAAAAAATAATACTGTAAACATGAACTTCCCGTCTATCGTGTGTGGTGGTTGCAGCTGAAGTGGCGCTTTCTGTTTGCAGGCGCGTTCGGTTGTGTTATCAAAGCCGATTCGATTTTTCGTTGAGGCTTTCGTTGCCTCCGTGTGAAAATTAAAGTAGCAAACCGGTAAACAACGTTTATTTGACAACGCTATTTTGTAGTGTGAGTTTCGAACTTTTTAAATCACTTTGGATCTCGCACCGGTTCCTTGATCTTCTGTCACTGAACCCGGGTGAGAAAAGTTAGGGTTAGGTTGTTCCGCGAACCGACATAACTGAGTTTACCGGTTTTTTAGCCGATATATCTGAACTTTGCTGTGAAATATCGTCCAACAGAATACAGTTGGAGCCACCGGTGACTGATCTTCCCCGCTTTTTCTTGTCTGCTTGTTTGAAATGCTCGGGAAGAGAAAGTTAGGGGATTCCTCTCGACGTATTAAAAATATGTGAGATTAAAGATACCATATAAGGATATAATAAATGTAAAACAAACAATGTAAGGATTTAATTGTAACTTATTTTTTATAATTTATTTTTTTTTTTAACTTCCTATAGGAATCGTGCGCGAAAAGAATCCAGTCGCGTTAGCCGGAAAGGGAACGACGTAGACACGTTCTAGCTGAAGGAAACATAATTTCAAGTTCTTATGACTGAAATGTGGTTTTTATAACCAGAAATTCTGTTTCCTTCAACCAAGTGCGTCTGGAAATTTTACTCCCTTTCTGGTTGATACAACCATTTTTTGTGTACATACGTCGGTTTTGAGATTTCTAGAAGTGTCGATCGACAAACATCCAAAAAAATAGTCACTTGCAAGGAAATATGTAATAATTTTCAGCAGATTATCATATATTTTGGTAGAAAAGTGTTGTTGATTTGCATCCATATACAGAAATTTTAATTTCACACCTTTAACAAAGAGCTTTAGAGGCGAAGAAGAAAATTGTACGCCGGTTTTGGTACTTATTTCCTCTGTAACAAATATAACACGAAAAACCGAAAGTCGAATTGTTTCCCCGGCGAGCGCTTTAATTCACGAGACGCCGTGTCGTCGCGAAATCGTGCATAAATTTCCATTCGGATTCCGGGGCTCTCGTCGTCGCGCTTCCAAGTTGCCGACTCGTCATCCGGCGACGAATGCGGAAATCGAACTCCCTGACACGCCGCCGTGTCGACCCGACACGGATTTTCTCGCGGTCTGCAATTTCTTGGCGGCCAACGCGCGAGCGCGATAAAACGAGCGGGCTCCGCTATTACTTTCAATTTGCTAATCCCGAACTCCAGGCGGCGAGGCACCGAAAGTCAAAGACTGTCCGAACGACATCGAGATCGTCGGGAAAAACGGCACCGCTATCACATGGACGGAGCCGAGTTTCACGGACAATGTGAAGGTGACGCGAATCAGTAACAACGAGGTAAGACCAGATATTTTTATATGATATTCTTGCCAATTATTCCACCAATTAATTCTAAGAATCGTCGAAAATCACACCGTGCCGCTAGAGTACATCGGTGTAAATAGAGAAGCGCAACTGAATTCGATATATCAATAGTTTGTCATTTTTTGCACGATAATACTCGGAGCAAGAAAGTATAGAAGCGAAAAAAAGAAATTTTCTACTGCGCATATTTATAAAACTCCGACGTTCGCGATCGTAAAATTACGCCAATAGTCGCATGCGTCTCACAGATACTACCATATTTTAATTCGACTATCAATTGATTAAATTAACTTTTTATCATTGAATATCCACAAGCGAATGCTTCTGACTACGAGAAGCAACTGTGCCAAACCATAATTCAATTAATAACTCAACTAGAATATTGTTAATAACTGAGAGATACATGCGACCAATGGCGTAACTTTCTGGTCGCGATTTCGTCAGAGTGTTAATTAAATTATGGTTTTACGCACAGTAGTGCTTCCCGTATAATCAAAAGAATTCATTTGTCGATATTCAAAAGTGAAAGGCTAATTTAATCAATTAAAGCAAATACACACAATACTAACATAACATAAAGGCGTGTAACCGAGTGGTTGCGGCTAAATTGCTCCCACTCTTTCCGTTTCTTCCAACTTCCACGGCGTAATTATCGGTCGAGTTACCCTAAATATACCCTAAATGTACTTACCACGCTTCTTTGGCGATGATCTATACCATCGAAAAACGACGAGACAAACTTCTCGCAATACCTCAGTCATGAATAACGCTAACATAGCGTTTTGTCTGATGCTTCCTTCGGCCAGCCTCCGCAGAGGACGGAAACTTAACAGAATTCAATTTGCATCGACCACAGTCGAGATACAGAGGTCACCGGCGTTACCCTCACCGATCGGTATTACCCCCGTTCTCCCTTATATAACGAGAATATTATAACTCACCCGTATTATGCTCGTATGCTCTTAGTCGTGTCGGCCGCAAAGAAAATGGCGCCTAGGTAATATATAATTCATACGGTCAATCACGAAACTGACCTTCCCCATTGCGCTTCTCTGTTTGTAGTCCAAGGAAGATCTCTATGTGCCGCGTAAATGCGGTGAAATTTCAACCGTGTAGCCGGTGGATAATAATAATAATACCAGACACCGACATTTCGGCGCGTGTGTGTCCCGCCGATTGGCGTTTACACAATTATTTGATGAACCGCGCATTACTCGCGATTAGTGTGATTTTAATCTGCCGCATCGGACAACGGCGTTATGAATAAAAATCAGTTGATATCTCGATAATTAAGTCCGCGCGCGATGTTTTCGCGTATGATGCATATAACGCGAAAGGTCCGCCGTGCGTGTGTACGCGAGTTTCACGTGTGTACACAAACATGTACATTCGATACACGCATTCCGGCGATACGTATCGCATTACGCGCGCGCGTAATAAGCGCATGAGCTGCGATTGGGTGGAACACGATCATTAATATTTTACAAGCGTGGAAACACTCATTAACGAGGATGATATTACCCCGCGCGCATAACATCGAGATGGCCGTTTTATAATTGCGCGAAAAACTGCCGGCGCGCAACGAATCGAATATTATAACACGCTTCATCATATTCACCGTTCTCTCCCTCTCTCTCTTTCCCTCTCATTCTTTCTCTCTCACGATGCATGAATGGATATCGACGCGCTATCGACGACGTCGCGCGTCGTTGTAATCGGCCCTCCGTCGCTTTCGCTCGCGACGGTAATTAATTAATTAACACTCGCGGGCGCGCGCGACATTATATCAAAATATAACGTATATTATATCGGGGCGCTCCGCAATTGGCTTATTTGTGCCGGAGCGCATCAATTATTATCCGAATTATACCCCAGTTTCCCATCATTCGTACCAAAGCCCCGCGCGCGCGCTTTGATGAATTATGTAAATTTGTTGAGCGGCGAAATGTACAGAGGAAGTGGAGGAGGAAGTAGAGCGGGCAAAAGCGATTCTGGTTACGGGACAGGATGGGCGAGAGTGAGAGGGAGGGGGAGAACGCGCGAAGGGGTGTACTCGTTCGCGAGAGCCTGCGGCACCCTCCTGTGGCCGTAAAATTAGTTAAGCATAATTTTCTCTCTCTCCCCCTCTCACTCTCTCTCTCTCTGTCACGTACCGGAAAACGGGCGGATTTCGCAACGACGAATGCGGCGGGTGGGTGCTGGCGGAGAAAGAAAGCGAGAAGAAAATTCCGGCGTGTTCCGGCTCGTGCCGAAAATTCAGCGTTCTCACCTGCCTGCCCCGTCGCTCTCCGGGGATGGTGGTGAGCCTGATGATCTCCCTCGCCGCTATCGTCGTCGCGCCACCAATCTGTCGGCGGACATTTTTTCGTCTTGTCCTTTTTTTAGAGCCCGGGTCGTCGCTTCGACGTCGGCGGCCACCGGATCGAGTACGAGGCGGGCGACGAGGCCGGCTGGTCGAGCAAGTGCGTCTTCACCGTGGTCCTTCGTCAGGAATAAGCGATGGAGAGGCCCAGGAGAGAGAGAGAGAGAGAGAGAGAGGGGGAATAGGGACACACGACGAGAAGGCGGAGGACGAACGATCGACAAGAAAAAGGAGAGAGAGAGAGAGAGAGAGAGAGAGAGAGAACGGGGAGGACGAGCGAAAGTAGGAGGAAGCAGCGCGGAAGAATAACGACAAGGTAATATAAATGGAAATGCCGCGGAATCGGGCGCGCGCCGCTCCTTACGTACGCTCCGTACGGCCGTAATGGATTCCGTTTTGTCCGGCAGGTTACACGCGGAAAAGAGAAAATACGGATATCCGTTCGCACACTCCCTTCTCACATCCCCCTCCGTCCCTTCGTCCGTTGGTAAACTGGCGCGCACGTCGTCAGGGATAAGAGAATTCGTCGACTGCCACTTTTGATAGAGTAATGCGCAAACGATAGTTCGGTAGTGTCACGTGCAACCTCCTTTATCATGAAGATTCTCGAAAAACATAAATTCTCGACTTCTTTCTTTTATGGAAAAATACGAGCTTCGAATTCGGAGTTCATATAATTCACGCTCGCACATATATATATATATATATATATATATCACTGGGGAGAGGGAAATTTTAAATTATAGACACAACGGATGTGGCCGACAGAGGCGAATTAATTAACGTCCGATCTCTCATTATTAGAGTCTCGCTAGACCGTCTCGCGCCCCTTTATCTCTTCCTCATCTTCCTCCTCCTACCACTTCCGATCGTTGTTAACGTAATTTTTCATCGTGAGCGTAGAAGCGGGTAGACACGGTAATGCGCGTTGTCGAGCGTAACCGCGACATAGCGTGTGAGCGCGCGAGTCAGAGAGAGAGAGAGAGAGAGAGAGAGGCGAAGGTGTTCAGCGTTATCGACTCGCGTGCTCAGCACGTTGAGTAGAAATTAGGCGCTCGTTATGTCGCCTAAATGCGTCGCCCGGAGCTCAACGAACTATCCCTCCCCCCCTCCCACGTGCCAATATGATGTAACACACACTCTCTCTCTCTCTCTCTCTCGCTCGGAGTAGATAGGGGGTGAGTAGTCTCGAATCTACCGGCGTTGCCGGCAGATTCCTTTCCCGGATAAGACTCTCTCGCCGAATGAGCCCGCTGATGAGCTCCGACAATAGAGGATCAACGTACGCCGCTGTCAAATCACATATACATACACACACACATACGGCACCGCCGAGCGCAGGTTAGGCGAGATCGTGCGCGCGGCGCGTTAAAGCCGCATAAACCATCGCCGGCTTATGACGATAATATCGGTATTAGGGGGGAAGGGGGGGGGAGAAGCGCGAGAATGTTACTACCGGTGCTTGCGTCCCGGTATTGCGGATCTTACGGGCTCCTGAAACGTCTCACGCGCCCACAACCGGAGATAAATAGACGGTACGGCGATATTGAAGTATCGTATTGAAGTAATCGAGATGTGTTTGTCGCGTAATCGAGATCGATTTGACTTGACCCCTTGATTTTCAGCCGCAAGCTGAATTTCGCGCTCAAGCTGAAAGCGAGAAATGGATTTTCAAACGTTGAACAATCAGTCGTTAAAATTTCGTGTCTGCAAATTCTTTAGCCGAGAAGCTTCTTTTATACATTTTTTACACATACCTTGCCGTCTCAAATCACGTTATTTAACATGACTGGACGATTCTTAACTTGACGTAATTTAACGTATTAATTTAGTATGATCGGATTGAAGATTTATCATTGATTCATTTTTTCCTGTGTGTAAATTCCCTGTATCTAACGTATTTTTTATTTTACATTCGTGACCTTGAATTTTAAAATTCACTATTGAATAGAACGACTTTAAAAACCTTGAAATACCTAAATTTAGACATATTGAACTAGAAGAAATAACAAAACGCAGTATCGCGTTTCTGCCAGTTTCGGGCCGGTTTTTGTGAACGCGATATTGCGTTTCCGCCAATCAAGGGGTCAACACGTGGATCATACATACACCACCAATTAAACTTTCCGTTTAGGCCGTTTTATATGTTTTCGTTATTTAAATATAACTTATAAAATATGTCATATAATGTCACATGCATTGATGCCGAAATTCCATGCATATTGCAATTATCGCGCCGCGCGGGTGTACGCGATCCATGCGGCGTGATAATCATTTTTTTAATGTCCTCTCGAAAAATTCAATTCCATAAGCCAAGTTTGCGGGGCTCGCTATAAAAACAATATTGGAAAGTTTGATGCAATATCAGCAAAAAATCCCACCGCAAAGTAAAACGGATACATTTTGCAACAATTGTAGGGACAGTCGCATTTATGTTTAACATGTTTCAGCACAATGTATCGCGATATGCTGTTGTAATTACAAACATTCTTTATTCGAAAATGTATTGTTTTCAGTAAAAATATAGTATATTAATGTAACATATTAACAATATATTAGAAATAAAAACTGTTTCTTCCTTTCTTCGACATAAATTGTGTAAATATACGAAAAATTTCTTAAAACAACCGTTTGTTTTGTAATGAAAGTCGTATCTTTTTCTTGCTCTAATAATCATTTCTACGTTCTTATCAATATTATGACGCGCTTAGTTCACTGTGTAAAACTGTCAGTCTCTCGATAACGCGGGCTACATGACATTCACCCTGCGTAAACGGGAAATCGACAAAAATCGCGTTTATTTCGTTGGAAAATATCGTCCTCTGCCATAACTCCTCCTAAGACACTTCTCGATTATATCGCGCTCTCGACCTTGCATTAATTGTCAAATGACGATTCTCTCTCTCGGGAAAAGCTGCGCGGCAAACGAGCAGCATTTTCTCACTCTCTCTCTCTCTCTCTCTCTTTCTTTTTCTCTCACGGTCGCAACTCAAAGACTGTACACAGTCGACGCGATGAATAATTAACACCGCCTAATTAAAACATCATTCCGTAGCGCGAGTGGAGACCTCCCCCCTTCCCCGCCGTAGTTGGCGGAGAATATCGTATATATTTACAAAGTTCCATTTTCTTAATGTTTAAAGGTGCGCCAATTGCGACCTAGCCAACCAAAGCTAACGTTGTCCAGCGTCTTTATTTTCATCGTTCCACACGAGAAACACAATTGCTGGTTACCATTACGCTCCGCGAGACCCGCATTTCGCCCCCCCCTCCATCCCATCCCCCCTCCCTTCCGGCTGGGCGAGCAAAAAGAGAGGCACTTGTTTTTGCGGCACGCTCTCATTAATACGCGCTCGCACGAATCAACAGCGGTCGCACTTGCGTCACCGATCAATTAATAATGCTCGTTGCTCGAGCAGCCGGCAGCAAACCGGCAGCGGGTTTAATAACCACCGCGCGCGGTCTTCGATGTGGTTTCGACGTTCGACGTTGAAACTGGCGAGAATAGGCGAAAATACGTAGCGCAACGTAATTGTAAAAGGGTTAAAGAGGGGAAACAAGCTACCGTAAAATGAACTTAGATCGCGCGCGAGGTCGGAGGAGGAGGGGGGAGACTCGGCGGGATTTTACGCGAACGAAGATCACGGCGGGCGGACGCCGCCACTCACGACGCCTCGACGATTCGTTGCGGCCCAATCGATCTCTTACGATTTTACGATCTCCCCGCTTTATCATCGATCCGTGCGAGGTC